CACCTCGCTCGAAAATCAAAAGTGGTACGAGGCCAGTTTGGACAAGGAGATCATTATTGAAAAATATTTGGTACCGGAGGTGGATGACCATCATAAGATCTCCTCGGCATTCAAGCGACTCGGATAGGAGGCTATACTACAGTTGCCCAAGCATTACTATCCCAATCTGGTCCGAGAGTTCTATACCAATGTCGAAAACAAACAGAGTCACAGTGGCAACCTCATCGTCTCCTGGGTTCGAGGCAAGAGAGTGGCTCTTAACCGAGATACAGTCGCCAAAATCACCAAACTCAACGACGAAGGAGTTGATGTTAAATTGACTAAGGTGTTCAAGGCACGCGACCCTTGGCAAGTTGGAGAAGTGGTAGCACGCTTAAAGGGTCAATATAGTGAGCGAGGAAGTTCAAAGAAACTCACCGTATATGCCGACTCCTTCGAGCATAGGTATCACTTAATCTTTTATCTCTTCGCCTTCAATGTGGTACCCAAAAGGACTAGAAAATAGGAGCTCCGCAATAGTGACCTCTACTTCTTAGATAAGATGATGCATGGGTGTGGGTGAGCAGTTGACTGGTATTCCTCTGCCCAGCATCATCATCAGTTACATGCGGACCACAGCTCACATGAGGGCCGGCGAGACCTGCTTTGGGTTCCCTCGACTGCTATTCCTCATTTTTTAGAAGCTCAAGATTCCTCTTGGAACCGAGCGAGCCATTGTCACTAGATCCGCCGAGGAGGTCAGTGCCTCAATACTCAAATCCTTGAGTATCTCTACAGATTTTAGAGCTGCTCTAGTTCGAGACACTGGGGAAGCATCGACTTCCGCTCAGCCTCCACCTCACACTGAACCACAAGCGGAAGCTCAAGAGGCGGAGGCACAGCAAAATCTTCCTCCTCCAGTTCCACGACCACCACCTTCGCCGTGATCCAAGTGGCAAGAGCTCCTCAATGCCATCTGCTGTATGGAGACACGAGTCGTCGAATGCATAGACCAGACCGAGAGGATGATGACAGAGCGACTCGACAGACATGATCGCCGTCTTCGTGCGATCAAGGATCATTTTCATATCCGCCGGTCACCTACTCCGACGCCTCAGCAGGAGTAGGGGCATATTAGTACATCACAGGGTCCTCCAGGAATTGAGGAGGCAGTAGACCCTCGTTCCGAATAGCCATGAAGATCCTTAGCTGCTCTTTATTTTTCTTTTATTGTGTTCGGTTTAAATTTTGTGATTTTTATATTGGATTCTCTTGTGCTACTTATGATTTTTCGTACCCTTTTGTTTCATTGTGGACAGAATTTGAATGATCGTGAGGAATTATGGTTTCAAATTGAATCACCACTTATTTTGTGGGAAGTTTCAGTTTCTATTACCTTCCTTACAATAAGGACATTGTTAAATTTAAGTGTGGGGGAGGGATTAATTTATCTTATGGATGATTGTGTCTTGAAATGCATGAATTGAGTTGTCTATGGCTTAAAAATGTTGGAATTATATTTGGAAATATTGTCTTGAGGTTAATTTTCTTGAAACTAAAACTGTTGGCAGGGAGTTTTGTCCAAGTATATGGGGAAACTCTGTCAAAATTTTTCTAAAATGCTTTTCAATATTTTAAGATAATGGCTAAAATGTTCAATTTTAAGTGTCTAATTCTTCCATTGGATAAACTGTTATATGCATTTTGGAAAAGTTTAGTCCTTATTTGACTTGGAATTAATCATTATGCAATTAGGATTTTTATATTTTAGAAAGTATATTTGGTTAAATAAGGAAAATTATACTTAGAATTCTGCATGTTTAATGATATTTTCATTTTTACTTAATTTGATAAGTAAGTGATTGATATAGTCAAGACAAGGCCAGATTCTTCCTTTAATTATGCTTAGAGGGAAAAGAAAAAAAATAATATAAAAAACATATATATAAAAAAAAAAGAGAAAAAGTATATTGATATTATTTTCCTACTCCAATGATTCACATATTGAGTAACCGGGAGTTGGCATCCACAAATGTTGACATTCGCGTAAAAAGGTATTGGAATTAAGAGTATGCTTAGCAATTTGAATAAGTGAAATGTTGAGTAACCGGGAATCTTCACGTAAAAGTGTTGATTTTTGCGTAAAAAAATATTTTCACTATTTAAGTAAAATGAAGTGTGAATAAATCCCTCTCAATTGTAAGTTTTGATGGTCATTGGATGAGAAAGGCCATAAAATTGACTATGTGATTTACTTATTTGTGAAATTAGGATAGAATGAGAGATTGATTTAAAATTGTTAAAATTAAGGCATAATTATCTTTCTTTAACTTGATATTATGAGTATTTAGTATAATCTGAGAAATGTCATAATGATTGATTTCTAGGTTTTTGAGAAATTAAATTTGACAAAAGTACGTATATTGTTTTATCAATTGAATCATTGAAGACAGTTTTGTGCAAATTGCTTGAGGACGAGCAACGATTCAAGTGTGAGGGAATTTGATATGCGAATATTTAACGTATATTTTGTACAAGTTTGGCATGAACTTTTGGTATGTTTTGAGAAGATTAAAACCATATTTGAACTCTTTAGGTAATAATTGCTTAAATATTGTTTAAGTGTTCAAAACTTGATAAATGAGTGGATTAATGTGTTAATTTTGTGAAATTGTGAAGGATATTGATGTATGAAATTCATACATGAGATAAAGGAAATGTAAGGATCGTCCAGAGGATAAACTACACAACAAATTAGGAGCAAAAGTGAAGAAAAAAAGGAAAATAAGTGAAAAACTGGAAAAAAGACCAATACGGATCCGTGTAAATCAAGGGAGATCCGAGCCCTTGTCTGTACTTCTGGAGCAGTGTATCCGAGGACAAAGGATCTGAGCTCAAATCGAACTTCACCACTCGGATCTGAGGCTCGGATCCGCCTCTCTCTTCTGCAAGTGGCACAGCCATTTTTTCTCACTTTTCACACAACTTTTCAGCTATTTGGAGTCAGTGAATTCAGTGGCACATGCTTCTGCAACAAAAGGGAAGACAAAATGAGTTAAAGAAAGTCAAAACAACATTTTCTTTTGACTTCCTTTACAAAATCTAGGTGGTTGAAATCATGAAGGAGAAAAAATGTCTTTCTACCACCTTTTATGCAGAGACACAAGAGAGGAGTTGGTATGACCATACGTAACTAGTTTTTCTTCTTGTCACTAGTTTCTCTCTAGTTAGGAGTTCTTGGAGAAACATTTGGAGTTTTCATTTGTAATCATCTTGTACAAGAACATAGCAGAAATTGGAGGGCTTCACCATCAATTGGCTAAGCTTTCTTTATCTTTCTTGTATTTGTACTTTATAATGTTTTGTGTTAATAAACTTGTGAGTTTGATTGTTAAATCATTAACAAGTAGCTAATTTTCTTTATCTAGGGAGTAGATGAAACTTATGGCTGAATAATATAAATTGAATGTGATTTACACTTGTTATATCTTGTATTAACTTGTTTATTTGTGCAGGTAGTAATTACTTGTTATTGCTTGATCACCAATAGCATGTTTATAGTTGTTATTGTTCAATGAAAATTGGTAGTAACAATGGAAACGCATAAATAGAGTTTAACTTGTATGTTCATGAAAATAGAGATACACTTAAGTGAATTTTTCTAACATTTCATGAAAGAAAACAGAGTAGTTGTAGTATTTCACCATGAAAATAGGGAAAACTATTTTGCTCTAGGCCATTTCATCATGAAAATGAGATTTGGTAATATTGAAAATGAATCCCTGGTTAAACAAGAAAAATAACAAGAGGTAAATCTATTCATTTGTGTTGTTTATGCCATAAGTGGAATCTACATCCCTAAATTCAATCTTTAGTGAAATTTCTCCATTTGTATTTAGCATTGATTATACCAAAGTGTAGACAATAGCATTATAATTTTCTTACTCAGATTTATTGTAAGTCTAAATAATAAAGAAAAATAAGGGGTTAGTACTTGTATAATTAGCTCCTCGTGGGATCGACCCGATACATACCCTACATTACAATTTCGGCCTGTATACTTGCAGTCAACGGGTATAAAATCGGATTTAAATCTGCATTGATATAAAAAGCCCGTCACTTCAAAAGGGATCACGAATCATCTCAGTCCAATACTTTTAGCTCAAAATATAACTGAAATACCAAAATGTGTCAAAACTATCAAACATTTCTTCTTTTTCACTTGATTGTATTTCATCTTTTGAACATTTTGTACTTCATATTCTCTTTAAATCATTTCAAATCATCAATATTCATTCAAATATCTTCTCAATTCATTTCATTTGATGATTAAATCATTGAAACCTACTAAAACATGAAGTTTCACCACTTTAATCCATAGAAATGCAATTCATTACACTTAGACTAGGCTGTAGACTTTCTCTCTCCTTGAGAGCACTTTCCCCCATTGATGGATTTTCAAAAATTTCAACCTTCCAATTCAGTATTTCACGGTAAAACTCTAACAATTATCAATAGCTCTATGTTCTAAACATCAACAAGCATGAAGATCTGGTGCGGACCATGTGCTTTTGTAAAGTTAATGCTGACAAAATAGTGAGGGGGCTGAACTTAAGGAAGTACGAGATCCAGAAAAGCTCAAGCGTAATTATTGTTGAAGCTGCATGTCATGCTGAACTTGATAGAATAGCCTTCTTCCAGCAACCATAGCTTCAGGTATTGAAATAATGTATATATTCTGAGCTTGATCTACTTGAGGTAGTGTGCACAGTGATTTGTATCTTTGTGTATTCCTGTCCTTTTCGTTGCTCTGTTTTGTGCGTAGCAGTGATGTTTGTGATTTGTGCTCACTGATCTTACTTTGCGTCATCATCTTAGCTGAGTCAAGATTCTGAGTTGATTGAGCTCTAGAGTCTGGTCTTTTCCCATCTTTTCCTTGTTCTGTTTTTCTCTGGTGTTGGAACTGTGTTTTGACTCCTCCCCTGCACTTGATTCTACCTGTAATACCTCTGGGTGTATCTATGGAGTCAGACTTGAGTGGCATGATGCAGAAATTCTCACTTGCTGGTAATGAACTCTCAGGAACGACGTTAGACTTATGGGACCTGGAAAGTGGTATAAAGGATTGTAAGGATAGCTTAATTGGGAGAGTTATGGGTGAGAAGATAGTGAGTTTTACAGGGTGAAAGGATTTACCACTGTAGCATGGGGGTATCCCAAAAATCTGGGGGTGGTTGAATTGGGACCGAACCTGTTCCAGTTCACCATACCTAACTGGGAGGAGAGGGATAAGATCTTGCAAGGTTGGCCTTGGGTCATAGATAACCAAGTTTTGGTTCTGAACAGGTGGAAGGAAAGTATTGAAGGAGATATGGAGGCGTTTAAAGTGACTCCTATGTGGGTGCAGGTGTGGAATTTGCCTGTGCACTGGCTCTCGAAGGAGGTTGGACGTAAAATAGGGGCAGTTTTTAAGCAAGTTAAAGAGATTGTCATTCCCCAAATGGGTGGTAAGGAAGAAAGACATCTAAAGTTATTGGTGTTGGTGGACTTATCTAAACCTCTTCTGCGAGGGACCATAGTAAAAACTGAGGAGAATATGACTTGGGTTGCCTTTAAATATGAACAATGCCCTGATTTTTGTTATAACTGTGAATTCGTTGGGCATAATGAAAGGACTTGTTCTAAGCAGGGAGATACTTCTGGAGGGAAGGTGGATAATCAATTTGGTCATTGGCTGCGAGCAGGAGTAGGAAAGGTAACCCCTCAGCCTAGGCAAGCTGGTCCGGTTATGGAAAAGGATAAACATTATTGGAAGTTCATAAATGGGGAGTTAGTTGAAAAAACTCAGGCGAGTAGTTTGCAGGAAAAAAATAGTTGGAACTGAATAAGAGTCTAGAGCCAGGGTTGTCTGATAGACAGGTTCTCTCCGAAGGCCTAAATGGGAAGAGAACTGTAGTTGAGCAGTTGGCTTCCACTCAACAGGAGGAACTCAGAGGTGAACCTAATAGGTTGGTAGGAGCGCAGGCACACTCTAAGATGGATAAGATCGAACAGGTAGGAGCAATAGGAATTGATGCAAATCCATTGATTGAGGGTATTTCGGAGATGGAGGAGGATAACAGTAGTGGAATTCCTGTTGTAGGCAATGTTGGGGTAAGGAAAAGAGAACAGGTGGACTCAATAAGGAGTCAGGATAGGAATTATAACAAGGGGAAAGTGCAGGAAGCTATTAGGAAGCAATCTAAAAGGTTGAATAGGAAGGTTTATGCCCCTATGAAGTCTAGGAGATCTTTAAGTGAGCTGAATAGAAAGGTAAGTAATCAGCTTGGTGGGAGTAAAAGGAAAATGATGAAGCTAGAGAATGATATGGAGTGCGATGGAAGTGAGGGTCAGAACTGGAAGAAATCTAAGTCCTTGGAGATGCTGGTGGTTCTAGAGGCTGATCAAGTGGAGGTGGGGTCCTTCCCTAATGGGGCCCCCACGGGTAAATGAGGGTTGTGGTGTGGAATTGTCAAGGAGTGGGGAGCCCCTTGACAATTCCCCATTTGAGGGAGGTCAACAACCTCTTCTCTCCAGATATCATCTTCTTGAGTGAGACTAAGAATAGAGAGTTATACATGTCTAAAGTAAAAAATTGGCTAAGATTCGATAATATGGTGGTGATTGAAGCGATGCATAGATCAGGTGGTATGTGCCTGTTATGGAATGAGAGGGTCAAAATAGTGAGGACAGTTCAAACAACCTTTACTATAGAAGCCAACATAGGTGCAAGAGATCCTAAAGAGGAGTGGTGGTTCATAGGTGCGTATGCTAGTTGTGATCCACAAATTCGAAAACAACAATGGAGGGTGCTGAAGGATAGAAGTAAGCTATGGGGAGAGAAATTTGTGATAGCAGGAGATTTTAACGATGTAGTTTCTAATGAAGAGAAATGGGGGGAATTTGAGAGAAAATAAGAGTTTTATGGCCTTTAAGGATTTTATTGCTGAGAATAGATTAATTGACTTAGGATTTGAAGGCCACCCCTGGACTTGGAGCAATCACTGGGATAACACAGGAAAGGTTAGGCAACGTCTTGATAGATGTCTAAGTAGTAGTGACTGGAGACTCAGGTTTGAAGGGGCTACTTGTAAACACATTGATTCTTTTGTTTTAGATCATAGCTTGCTCATGTTGGATACGGAGCTAGCAAGATTGAGAAAGAAAAAAAGGTTCTATTTTGACAAGAGATGGGTTCAAAAGGAAGGTATTCAGCAAGTTGTTGAGAGGGCGTGGAATAAGGCTGAACAGGGAACTAAAATGTTTAAGTCACTAGGAAAGTAACAAACTGTAGAATAGAGATCTTAAAGTGGAGAAACTCCTTTCAAGCGAACTCTAAAGCTAGGATTACTGATCTGAAGAACAACTTGGAAGCTCTTGAGAGATCAATTGAGGAGAACAAAAGTGTCATTAGATCAGAGCTTAAGGAACTATTAAAACAGGCTTATAGAGATGAAGAATCCTTTTGGTGCCGAAAGGCTAGGATCAATTGGCCTAGAGAGGGAGACAAAAATACTGGTTACTTCCATGCTAATGTGAGAGGTAGAAGGAATAGGAATAAAATCTTTGAGGTTCAAAGAGATGATGGAACTTGGACCAGAAATGATGATGAACTGGTAAGTGAGATGTCCTTATTTTACAGCAATCTGTTCTCTAGTGATGGTGAAAGAGATAACTCAGAGGTATTACTTGGCATCAATCAAACTATCACGGAGGAGATGAACAACAATCTGACTAGACCAGTTCTTGAAGAGGAAATTAGATCTGCCATTTTTTCTATGTAGCCGGATAAGGCACCTGGTGCAGATGGCATGACCCTTTTGTTCTTTCAAAAATTCTGGCCAGTGATCAAAATGGATGTAGTTCAGGCTGTTCAAGATTTCTTTATATCCGGTTGCATGTTGAAATCTATTAATCATACCATTATTTCACTCATACCCAAGATTCTGCACCCAATGAGCCTGAAAAATTACAGACCAATCAGCCTGTGTAATGTGTTGTACAAGACCATTTCAAAGATCCTTGCTAACAGACTCAAACCAGTCCTCCACAAATGCATCAGTAAAAATCAATCTGCGTTCATTCCTGATAGACAAATTCTGGATAATGTGATTTTAGCTCAGGAATATATGCAGTATTTCAAGAACAAAAGGCAAGGGCAAGAAGGGTATATGGCTATCAAGCTAGACATGACTAAAGCTTACGACAGAGTGGAATGGCACTTTCTGAAGGCAATGATGCGGAAGATGGGTTTTTGTGAACAATGGATACACTGGATAACAAGATGTATGGAGACTGTATCGTATTCCTTTAACTGCAATGGGGAAGTGAAAGGTTTTGTAAAGCCTAGCAGGGGGATAAGATAAGGTGACCCTTTGTCACCTTACTTGTTCCTAATATGCTCTGAAGGCTTTTCTAACTTACTTCAAAGAGCTGCTGAAAACAAGAGACTAAAAGGAGTGAAAATCAGTAGGAGAGGCCCAAGCATCACTTATCTTTTCATTGCGGATGATTCACTCATTTTCTGTGGAGCGGATAAACAGCAAGCTGAGGAGCTTATGAATATCTTACAGGCTTATGAACAAGCTTCTGGTCAGTTGATTAACTTAGAGAAATCATCTGTGATCTTCAGTAAGAATGTGTCTATTACGCAGAAACAGGAGGTATGTGGTAAACTTGGTGGTATGGAGGAAATGAAACTTGGGAGATACCTTGGACTACCAATGGTCATATCAACGTCAAAAGAACAAGTCTTTGGCTATATTAAGGAAAATATTAACAGGCGTCTAGAGAGCTGGAAGAATAGATTCTTAAGCCAAGCAGGAAAGGAAGTTATGCTCAAATCTGTTACTATGGCTATGCCAATTTATGCAATGTCTTGCTTCAAATTGCCAAGGAAGTTATGTAAGGATCTCAGCTCAGCTATGGCAAACTATTGGTGAGGAGAAGCCAATGGGAAAAACAAAATGCATTGGATTTCTTCGAAGAAAATGGCTCAGGAGAGGAAGGAAGGAGAACTGAATTTCAAAGATCTGGAAGCTTTTAACAAGGCTTTGCTTGGAAAGCAGATTTGGAGGTTTATCACCAAACCAAATCTACTTGTGAGTAGAGTCTTGAAAGCCAAATACTTCAGTAAGGAGTCCATTTTCACATGTAAAGTACAAGGCACTGCCTCGTGGTTCTGGAAGGGATTGATGAGTGTGAGAGGTGTGTTGGAAGAAGGGGTACTGAGGAGAATAGGGAACGGGATTAGCACAAAGATATGGGAACATAAGTGGATTCCACAGGCCCCAAATGGCAAGCCATCAACAACTAAGCCACAAAATTGTAAGTTTGAAACAGTTCAGCAGCTCATCACTAACAAAAGATGGAACTCCAACCTAGTTTTCAGACTTTTCAATAAGTCGGATGCTATGAGGATTCTTAGCATCCCAGTCAGCCTAGGGGGGAGAGAAGACTCACATTATTGGGGATACAATGAAGGAGGAGAATACACGGTGAGGTCTGGCTATAAGAGGTTTATGAAAGAGAGCTTAGGCAGTAGCAATTCTAAGGAAATGGCTGGTACAAGCATGGAGGCAGGCAGTAACCAACGTAAATAGATATGGAATGCATTATGGAGGCTTAATATCAAACACAAAATTAAATTGTTCATATGGAAATGTATCAGGGGTGCTATCCCAGTCAGAGAGGCAATTTTCAAGTGAACTGGAGAAGGTGATCCAGTTTGTAAAGGCTGTGGAGAAGAACCGGAGATAATTGAACATACTCTTCTGCAATGTCCCATAGCAAAAGCCATATGGAAAATAGCTCCAATAACTTGGGAGGGGGCTGATGATCAGATAGGAAACTTCCACAGATTGTGGAGTAGGATCACAGAGGCGAAGAATAGACAAGATGGAAGAAACCATATGGGGCTCACAGCTAATATACTTTGGCAAATTTGGAAGGATAGGAACAAAAGGGAGTTCAAGAACCAGGCAGGCTATAATCCGTGCAGTGTTATTCAAAAAGCACACATGGAATGGCTAGAGATTGTGGAGTTAGATTCGAAGAAGGAGCCTCAGAGCACAACAGAAATAGTGGTACCAATGGAAGTGGACAGTGTTGCACCAGATAGCCACAAAGGGGTAAATCTGAGAGTGGCAATCAAAACCTCTAAGAGAAATGCAGTACTGGGCATTAGAGTTTCTGTGCGCAGAGTACCAAATGAGGCATATGAAGTATGGGCCTTAAAAGACAGAAGCTCGGGTGACCACATTATTGATGAGGCTACAGCAATCAAGCTAACTTTATGCAAAGCTTTGGACAGACAATGGAGTACCATCTCAGTACATATTCGTAACAAAGGACTGCTGAAGCTACTCAAGCTTGGTAAAGCTTCGGACTACAGAATGACAACACTGATTGAGGATATCCTTAGCTTAAAATCACTGTTTCGAATGTGCTCATTTTGTTTAGACAATGATGATGATAACATAGATTGTAACAGTGTTAGTTCTTATGCCCAAGGCATTTTGTTGGATAAGGAATTTCTTGTTCCTCCGTGTTCTTGAACACGTTGTGTATAGCTTTTCAGGCCTTTGCTCGATGTGTAAACATTTTTATTGATCAATGCAAGAGTACTAGCGTTTCGAAAAAAAAAATTACACTTAGACTACAAATGTCAATTTCACTTGAAACCTAGTTAATTAGCTATAAAAATAAGTAAAGTATACCAAAATTAAATAATAAAATACATTTAAATCACTCAAAATGCACACTTATCAATGTTTTTCAGAAAAACAATTAGCTCTTCTCTATACAAAAATCAAAATCTTCTTGCTCAAGTTTCTAACTAACCACCTGCTAGCAACTAATTCTATTAACTAATTACCTAACTGTAAAGTCATGTTATCAAAGATGATATTTTGTTACAAGATAATCACAAATTGATGATCATCATACGTTGATGATCATAACAATACTCCCTCCTCACAAAATCCTAGTCACTAAGATTGAGCTGGAAATCTGGGAATTGTGACTGTATGATTGATACATCCTCCCAAGTAGCATCCTTCCTACTGAGGTTTACCGATTTGATCAAAACTTGTGACACTTTTCATCCCTTCCTCTGAATCTTTCGAGTTCCTACCACATTTTTTGGAGTAATCTTAATTTGGCCATCAGTAGTGGTCATAGCTAGGCAGGTTTTCTATCACTTCATGATTCTTTGCTGATGGTTTCACCGGTGAAACATGGAAAGTTGGGTGTATGGATATGCCTTCTAGTAACTCCAATTTGTAAGCTAACTTGCCCACCTTAGGTAGTACTTTATAAGGTCCATAGTACTTGAAAGCTAATTTCAAGTTCCTCCTCAATCCTAAGGAAGTCTGTCTGTAAGGTTGTAACTTCAAGAATACATATTCTCCTACCTCATATTGTCTTTCAGATTTATTTCTGTCAGCAAATTGTTTCATATGATTCTGAGCCACTTCCAAATTAAGCTTCAACATCTCATTGCAATTTTGCCTTTCTTCTACCCAAGATTCTACTGCTACTATAGGGGTTTGCACTAAAGCCAGTGCTAGTTGTGAGGGAGTATATCCATATAATGCCTAAAATGTAATCATCTTAATTATAGTATGAAAATTGGAGTTATACCACCACTCTACAGTTGCCAACCAAGACTTCCATTTGGTTAACTGCTAGAAACAAATGCATCTTAAATAGGTCTCAATACATCTATTCAACCTCTCTGTTTGTCCATCAGTTTGGAAATGATAAGCATTACAGAAATGCAGATTGGTTCCCAATTTTCTTGGCAACTCTTGCTAGAATAAACTAGTGAATATCTTGTCTTTGTCAGATACTATAATCAAGGGGAACTCATGCAATTCATAGACATTCTCAAAAAATAGTACAACCACTGATTGTGCTGAATATTTGGCTGTCAAAGTAATAAAGTGGCTATACTTGGAGAACCCGTCATCCACAAATAGAATTTCTTCATAACCACCGGACTTGGGTAACCCTTCAACAAAATCCATTGAAATGTCCTGCCAAGCTTGCTCAAGAATAAGTAGGGGTTGCAAAAATCATGAATATTTGCAATTTTCTGCCTTATTCCTCTTACAATTCTCACACTGCTACACCCATTATGTTACTTCTTTCTTCATAGCAAGCTAAAAGAAGTTAGTTTTTAACCTTTAGTAGGTACCCAGAATGCCAGAATGACCACCTAAGGGAGAATTATGCATGCAAGTAATCAGTTTGCCCCTCAAATCACCAAAACTTCCAATTTAGATTCTACCCTTATATCTGATAATCCCTTGTTTCACTGTGTAGTGCTGTTCTGCTACTGGATCAATGGACAATGCAATTATTAATTCCTTAGCCCTCTCATTACCATAGCAGATTCTTTTCACCTTAGCCAACCATAAAGGTTTAAGTACAGAAAGCACCTGTACAGAACACTCAGACTCCTTCTTTGCAACATCCTAATCTCCTCTTCTTGGTAATGCATCTACCACAATGTTAGCCTTCCCCTTCTTATACCGAATCTCATAGTCTATCCCTAGTAGTTTGGTTAACCATTTCTGCTACCATGGAGTAGAAATCTTCTGTTCCATTAGATACTTGAGGCTCTGATGATCTATTTTGGTAATAAAGTGTGCCCCTAACAAATAGTGCCTCCATTTAGATGTTGTTGTAATTAGCGATAGTAGCTCCTCCTCGTATATAAGCAACCCTTGATTCTTTGGCCCTAGAGTTTGGCTGAGAAATACTATAGGTCTCCCTTTTTGCATCAAAACAACTTCAATAGCTTGATGACTGGCATCTATTTATAATACAAAAGGCTCAAAGAAATTTGGCAAAGCCATCACAGGAGTGTTGCTCATAATGTGTTTGAACTATTGAAATGCATTCTCTGCTTTCTTATTTCAGTGAAAACTTTCTTCTTAAGAAGATCATTTAGGGGCTTTGTTACCACTCTATACCCATTCACAAACCTCCTGTAATATCCTGTGAGCCCCAAGAAGCCTCTCAATGACTTCACAAATATAGGAGTAGGCCACTCAAGCATGCTCTAGACCTTGCTAGAATCAATTTTCACTCATTCCTTAGTAATGATATGCCTTAAATACTCTATTTGTGACTGTCTAAAGGTGCATATGGAGAGTTTGGCATATAGTGTATGTTTCCTAAGTGTTTCTAGACTATTCAAAGGTGTTCAAGATGGCTATTCCAATCTAGGCTGTATACTAATAAGTCATCAAAGAACACAAGTACAAATTTTCTAAAGAAATGTTCAAACACATCATTCATAAGAAGCCTAGAAGGTAGTTGGGGTATTAGTCAAACCAAAAGGCATGACTACAAAACAAAAAGATTTTGAAAGCTATTTTTAAAATATCAGGGGGATGCAATCTCAATGGATGATATCCAGCTCTGAGATCAATTTTGGGGAAGAATTTGGAACCATAAAGTTCATCCAGTAAGTCATCTTTAATGGGAATAGGAAACTTGTCTTTGATGGTCATTTTGTTTTGTTGTCTATAGTTTACACAAAATTTCCAAGAATCATCCTTTTCACAACTAAAACTAGAGAAGCAAATAAACTGCGACTAGTTCGGATGATTCCATTTTGAAGCATCTCCCTGATTTGCTTCCCAATTTCGTTCTTCTGGTTATATGGGTATCTATAAGGTGCAAGTTTGAAAGGTTTGGCATTAGGAACAATAGGTATGTGGTGATTATAGGATCACATTGGGGGTAATGTTTTTGGTTCCTCAAATGCATCTTTGTGGTCACTACGTAAAGAATCTAGAGCATTTCTATCAAGAGTGTTTACCTGATCACCAGCCAAGTTGAAAACACAGGCTTGTGTCCTCCTCAATTGTATATTGCTTGCACTGCTATCCTCCCTTCTAATCCGAGTCACAGGATTTTCTCCTTGCAAAATAACCTATTCTCCATCCTTGTCAAAAGTCATCTCTAACTTCTTGAAATCAAAAGTGATGGGGCTATATTTAGCTAACCACGCCACCCCCAAGATCACATCATAAACATCTAACTCAAACACAAATAAGTCAAGTTTGAACTACATTCTTTGCATTAACCAACTCATATGAGGCATCAACTTACTACAAATCAAGTATTGCCTATTTGCCACTTTAACTTTGAAAGGTTTGATCCTTTTAATTAAATAAAAGAACTCTCAAGCATAACAGTTTTAGCAAAGCTATGCATACTTCTCCCATTAATTAAAATTGAAAATTGCTTCCCATTAAACTGACCATACACCTTGATGGTGCTGTGAAGCATGTTTCCATTCAGCATATGTATGGTAAATGCTATCTCCTTGTGGTCCCTTCCCCCTTGATAATCAATCACTTCTTCTGCTTCTAATTTCTTTCTCTACTTCCTCATCAGCCAATAGTAAGTGTAATTTCTTCTATTTACACTAATGCCCTAATACAAATTTCTCACCACTTTTGAAACACAAGTGGTTTCCTCTTCTATGTTGAATTTCTGCAGGGGTAATTTTCTCAAAATTGGATGTTGGAAGAGATTTCTTGGCCGCCACATGAGATGTTTTGGGTTGAGAATAACTAGTAGCAGGTGCAAATGAATAAAGGGTAATGGGTGGGGCTATTTTTGAGATGAATTTTTGCTTCTTGAAACAAGCTTCAAAGGCATGTTCATGCAATCTGGCAAGTTCAAAAGGTTGAGACAGAGTGATTGGATTATGTGTTTTCACCATGGATGTCAGTTTATTCGATAATCCACTCAAGAAACATGAAATATAATAGGATTCAGATAGTGTTGGAGCTCTTACCATATTTCAGCTCTTAATTCCTCAAACCTCTCTTGGTAAGCTAGGACAGCTGAAATCATCGTCAATTTATTAGACTCCTCTATCGCATCCAACTGTCCTAATTCTCCAAACCTTCTGATCAACTCCCCCAAAAAATCCCCCCAATTCTTTCTTCCTGCTATCTTGAAACCTTGATAACAAATATTTGCCTTGCCTTCCAAGTTATGCTACATTCAGCCACATTTCTTCTGGAATCTTGAAGAGTAAGAAATACTTTTGGGTAATCCAAAAGTAGGAATGGCTCTGGATGACCCTAGATCCCCCACTGAAAGATGTTTCCCCCTGAAGGATGGAAACTCCATCTTGGGTACTGCAAAAGTAGGAATGGCTCTGGATGAACCTAGATCCCCCACATGTTGATCTCCATCTGACATGTTCTCTACTGCTCTTCCTTGCACCCTTGGATTTTCCAAGATTCCCCTTTCACTGTTATTGCTCTTTATGAAGCTTTGAAATTGAGCAGACATGGCTGCCATGTACCCTTCAATCTTGTTGCTCAACTCCATGTCGCCAGCTTCAACTCTCTCTTCCAGACTCTTCTTATCAACTGCAATATTTTCTATTAGATTATGGATAAGTACTTCATGCTTCTTCAACTGCTCCTCCATGCCACACATTCAAGTTCCTTCCGCCATGATCAACTAGTTCTAAAAGCTTCCGTCCAAGGATCGGAAGCTCTAATACCAATTGTAGTGA